CCTCAACGCAAGGCGAGCGTCAGCCGCAGCCTCTCGCACTACGCCTGCCGGGAGCTCCTCAAGCCAAGCGTCCACCGTCTGTTGGAGTACTGGCAACGGTTCAAGGGTAGCAATAACCTCCTGAAAAATCTCCTCAGCCTCACTCCCCCTGCCTGCCCGAAGACGCCCCAACAGTGCAGAGCAACGTGTAGCATGCATCGGCGGCAAGTGCGCGATTCCGACCCCTTCAATAGCGACACCTTGCGCATGACCTGCCTTTTCAGGGACTACGTCGAACAAACCCCTAAAATTCTCCTCGATGGCCTGACAGCAACGAGCATGGAACTGCAGATGCCGCCTGTACTGCACCAAAGTGGAGAACTGGGTGGCACAGGCCTGACAACGGGTACCCCTTGCGAACCTCCGAGCACGGGAGCGATAGCCGTGAACTTTGGCCGCATGAGCAGACCATGCATGGCAGTCGTAAAACGCTATCCGGCACAACAAGCAGGCATGTTCCGCTGTTTCGCAATCCACCACCGGGGCCGGCACCTGATCCCAGAGAAGGCGAACCCATTGCTGAAACTTAACTTCCATCTGATTCGCATGTATGTGCCACTGCTCGGCCCTCTTAAGTAGTCCCTTCCACCTGCATGGGCTCGCAATGAGCTGCGCCCAAGCGCTCCAACATGCTTCGATAGACCCAGGGCCACCCGTGCCATGCGTGGCCTGAGTGAGCCACTCGCCGGCTTGAACGAAAGCCCGCCTGGCACTTGGCGCTTGCTGGAGCAGAGCGAAGGCAGCGTCGGGCCCACTTCGGACAAGTTGCGCCAGGAAGCGAAGCCTCTCCAACGCTAACAACCCCAGAAGGGGCGGCATTCCCACCGCAGCCGATAGACGATTGAAGGACCATTTCTGGTCCTGGTCCCGCGGTATCCTTAGCATCTGCTTTAACATGCGATAGTATCCAGCTAGAAGTAATATTGGTAAGAGTTTTGGCTTCTATATTAAACTGACCACTAAACCTCAAACCCCATGATCTGAAGCCTTAAGCACTCAGGCCTTTGGATTGGTGAATCGACCGGATTCGACCGAGCCCTGGAGGAACTACCCCATGCCCCTTGGGACCACTCCTAAACCCTAAACCCTAAACCCTAAACCCAAAGGATTTCAGCACCTGACACATGTTCGACGCTCTGCAAGACAGCAAGAGATATCCCAAACTGTGACAACGACTACGAGCATCATCCTCCGCTTCAGGGTTTAGGGTTTAGGGTTTAGGGCTTAGGGTTTAGGGTCATCATCATCGTCAGAATCATCGTCATCATAACCATCATCATCACAGTCATCATCGTCATCATCGTCATCACCATCATGACCATCAGCAACAGTGCAGCCTCTCCTGCTCTGGGCAAAGGCAGCAAGGACAACGCTCATCCTCAGCTACCGCACCCTGAACCCTGAACCCGAAACCACAAACCCTAAACCCAAACCCGGCACCCTAAATCCCAACCCTAAACCCCGAAACAGCCTGGACTCTTAAAAACAAGCGAACTCCAAACCGTAAACCCAACCCCCCAAAACCCCGAAAAAAACAAACCTGAAACTCAAACCCTGAAAACCCATGAAAACCCCTGAAAACCCCTAAACCCCTAAACCCTAAACCCTAAACCCCAAAACCCCCACAACCCAAAGAAAGCCCCTGAAAACCCCTGAGCCCACCCGGCCTCCGGTTCCCGGGCGCGCTGCGCCGGCGCGACCACCGGGGCCCGTGGAACGGACCCGGCGGTGCCGGGGAGGACGAAGGCCACCTCTTGAAGTTTGTTTAGGGTTTAGGGGTTTAGGGGTTTAGGGTTGAGGGTTTAGGGGTTTAGGGTATAGGGTATAGGGTATAGGGTTTAGGGTTTAGGGGGATGTTTGGGTTTTAAGGTTTAGGGTTCAGGGTTTCGTCCTTAGGGCCATAAGGGTGCTATGAGGTTCTATCGGAGCCTTGTTACAGGTATCATGGGAGTTTAGTAGGGCGCAAACGGAGCTTTCCGGTTTAGGGTCTAAAGGTCTTTAGCTCTTTGCTTACGGTAGACCCTAAACCCTAAACCCTAAACCCTGAACCCTAAACCGGTAGGTGTTTTTTGGGTTTGGGGAGCTCTGGCACTTCGATAATCCAGAACCCCTGCGCATTCCGTGCAAGACCCTGGGTTCAGGGTTTAGAGTTTAACCCAAAACCCCCAACCCCTAAACCCTAAAGTTGTTCACTTAGGGCTGAAACCTTGTACCTCGGACCTCGAGCTTTTATGGTCCGGGGCTCTGATGGGTTTTATAGTGTTTTTAGGGGTGTTTATAGGGCTTTTTACTCGTTCATGGTTGGAATAGTTGTAAAAAATCTACATGTCTATTCCTCATCGAGTTTAAGTACCCGTCAACATGTATAATGTTACCCAACTACGACAGAGCTTAGGTTGCAGGAGTCGTACAGTGTGCAGGGGTGGGGCGATTCGGGTCTTGAGTTCAAGTGGGTTTGGGGCTCGGGGCCTTGAGGGGTTTAGGGCCTCTAGGGGTTTAGGGTTTAGGGTTTAGGGTTTAGGGCCTTTGGGGCTTAGGGTCTTTAGGGTGTAGGGCCTTTAGGGATTGATGTTTGAGGTTTACGGAAACTGATGAGAAAGAGGATATCGACAGCCAACCTCCTGCGGGTTGGGGCTTTGGGTTCTGGTGGGTTTAAGGTTTGGGTTCCGGGGGCTTAGGGTCTTAGGGTTTTGTAGGGTTTTGGGGTTTAGGGTGTAGGGTTTCAGAATTCATGGTTGAGCGTAATGCAAAGCAACCCTTCTGCAGAAACAACCTGCGCCTGTTCTGCAGGAAAATCGCTTCAAAGCTGTTGCACTAGCCAGCTAAAGCTCGGTTTTAAACAAAAAAAACTTCCACGTTTGCAGCCGTTGGGGTTCAGGCTGACGGTTCGGTGCTTAGGGTTTAGGGCTCAGGGTTAAGGGTCTAGGGTTTAGGGTTTGGGGGTCTAGGGTTGGCTTATGGCTTATAGGGTGGGTGGACCGACTGCTTCAGCTGAGACGCAGCCATCGCCGGCAGTGTGTGCGGAGTCGACCCAAGAATGAAGACGCTGCAATGGCTGCGGCCACAGAAGTTACACACGTATCACGACTCGAAGCTACAAACCCTAAACCCTAAACCGACAAAACTGAGGCTGCCTGCCTCGTTAAAGCTTTGCTAAGTTCGAAGGCTTCGGGGTTCGGGCTTGGCTTGGGGAAGGTTCTTGGACAGAGTTGTGCCAAGACCATACAAGGAGTGCACGGGACGGCCGTCATCATCACTCGCTTAGGGTCTTGAGGCTCAGGATTTTGGGATCGGAAGTTTTGCTGTTGAGGGTCTTCGGGACACTTGATGCTTCCTTGTTTCAGGTTTTGGGCTTCAGGGCCGTTAGGGAACTCAGCCTAAGCTCTAGACCCCAAGCCTGAAATTCATCCGAGACCCAGGCCGAAAACATGGGCGCTCTTTCAAATAAATATATATATATATATTAATTATGTTTGGGTCATTGAAAAGTAAGCTTTCAAGCTTCTGTCTGGATACCGTGTGCCACCTCGAAGACCGCGCTGTGAGCAAATCCTTCTAAAATAACCGAAACCCTAAACTCCAAAGACAAATGCCCTTTGCTCTTGCCCTGCACCGCTGGTTGGGACCCTGGCATGCTTGTCGCTGATCTGGAACTTGCCTCTGCACAGATGCCACTAATAACTAATCTCCACATGTCCGCACCTTATGCCACAAACCGAACGCCGTTCCGAAAGCAGAAAAAACCAACCCAACGGCGAGAATGGATATCATGACGATGATGATGATGACGATGATGATGATGATGATGATGACGATGATGATGATGACGATGATGATGATGATCGCGACGATGAAGATGACGGTGATGGTGAAGGTGACGGTGACGATGGTGATGATGATGACGATGAGGAGGAGGAGGAAGATTATAAATCCTCTGTGCCGGGTAGTTCTGAGCATCTTGTGTTCGTATATTTCCGGCGGGTAGTTGCATTTTGGTTGGGGTGTGCTTAAATTCTCAGCTCTTGATCTTAAGATCATGCCCTCAGACTCCAAAATCCCTTAAATCAAGGCCCGTCAACCGCCCGAAATCACAACGTGGGCGAGGTCGTGACGAGCAAGACCCTTGTAAATGCGGTAATGAAGTAGGCTTCTGTCTACCAGTTAAAACAGTAGAAAGGCGCATCATAATCGCCATAAAATGATCATGACCATCATTGCTGCGCTACGAACAACACAGCTGATGGTAGCGTCCGCGGAGGTAGACTTGCTGGCGCCTGTTGCATGTGATCTTCCCTTAACTCCGACCCCCTATAGTAGAAGCCAGACAGTTGGAACATGATCATCCTCATGCCCTTACGGTAAAGTATAAGGGATCCTAGCACTAATCCTCCTAAAGCCATCGCCTCTACTATATGGTAGAAGCCCAAAAGTTGGAAACCCAATAGCCTCAATCCTCAAGAGCAATGTTAGGAATCCCAGCACTATATTTCCTTAATCCGGCTTCCAACTTCTAGGGCCGACCCGGTGCAACCTTTGGGACATGTTTGATTACGCCGTGGTTGTGTGGGTTGAGGGGTTTAGGGGTTTTGGGGTTTTGGGGTTTAGGGGTTTAGGGGTGTGGGGTTTAGGGTTTAAGGGTTTAGGGGTGTGTGGAGGGGTAAAGGCTTTGGGGAACTTGACTATAGAGAGCCCCATAGAACTGAGGACAGCAGTCTACCGAACCGAAAGCCGTACATCCTTTAAGCTTGCTGCAACTTGCTCAGATTCCATGTTAAGTTTGGGGGTGGTGGAGGGGTGGGGGTTACAGCAAACTCAATACCCCAAAGCCGTCAAATTCCATCCCAAAACCCTCCAAGCCCCGAAGCCTCAAACGAACCCTCGAACCCCTAAGAAGCCTCGAAGTCATTGGATTCCTTGAACCCCTACGGGCCCTCAAACCTTACATGGTGCAGGCAAGCGGCATTCTCCGTTCCTTGGCTCAGGCAGAATAGAAGTCTAAGCACGATCAATGTCCCCGTATCGTCCCTGAATTATTGGACTACAGTATATCCCCCAAACCCTAGTCTACTTCTGAAAACCCCTTATCTCAAAACTTTATGAAACCCTGTAAGAACCCAACAAAGAGCGTGCTTCTTAGGGTTTAAGATTTTGGGTTTGGAGTTTTGAGTTTAGTTTTCAGGTCTGGAGTTTGGGTTTAGCTACAAGGCTGATAGGGTTGATGATATAAATCCTGCATTACCTTAAGGACCCTAAACTGGAACTATGGTATATGGGTGATGCAGGATTTATATCATTATAAAGTCCTTATCAGGGTTCTGCTTGGTTCTATAGTTATAGGGTTCCCATGTAGGCTCTTGCAGGTTTAGAAGTTTGGGGTTCAGGGTCCCATGAAGATTTGTTATTTTTTTGAAGGGGGGTAGTGTTATATATTCAGGAACCCTCGGGAACGGTATCCCTAAACCCTAGGCACCAGGAGTTTGAGTTTTAATCCAATTTTTAGGATTCTAGGGTATAGGACTTGGTGCAATAGGCTTCTGCTGGCTGTGCACGTTTAGTGTAAACGATTAAGGTGCATGTTTTTCTATAACCACTGAAAAGAATAGCTTGCGACGTGTGGCGATCCAAATCCGTTTGATGCGCATATGCCAAAATTTTTAAACATCCGTTCTCCCTCTCTTGCCCTGAACGGAGAGACGCATGCACCCTATATACATACCTGTAATCGAACAGCACATAAACATGCAAATGAACTTTACACTCAGCTTTGACGGAAAGATGGACCGATCCATCGAGAGATAGACAAATTGAACACACATGCACACAGAGGGTTGAGGGCCTCTCAGGGGGGTAGGGCTAAACACTCAGGATTGCACAGTTGCAGTTTAGGGGAACCTTATGCCATACACCCTGAGCACCCTGAACCTTGACCCATGACTTCCGACGGCGCACGGCCCAGTGAAGAACTTGTAACCGTCGAAGGTGGCGTTGGATTTTAGCAACTCCTGCTGCCTTCGACAAAGTTTTGGCTTACGGTCTCAGGGTTTGGGCTTGGGGCTTAAGCTAAGGATGTAGTATTTAAGAAATACCTTAAGAACCCAAAACCCACTTTTTTGTAGGTTCTTATTATAAACCCTACTATGGGGGATTCATAGGGACCCTACAAAAAAGGTAGGTTTTGGGTTCTTAAGGTAGGGCTTGCGGTCTTCTGTTGAGACTTCGGCGGTTGGGCGTGTCAGCAACCCCAGGAAGCAGAAGGATGAAGGATTTAAGGTTTAGGGACGTGTTCCTTTTAGGGTTTAGGGTTTGGGGTTTAGGGTTTAGGGTTTAGGGTTTAGGGTTTAGGGTTTAGGGGTTTAGGGTTCCCCTTAAGCCTAAACACAAACCCCCTAAACCCCGCTAACCCTCTAAACAGCGGATAAGACAACACTAGAGACAGCAGGAGCAATGAATGTTGCTGCGCAGTGCTGATACGTGGAGGTGAAACTTCGATTTGGGCTTGGTTGGCCTTGTTCGCTGCAAGGCTCTACAGCAAAAGCCTTCTAGAGTTCTCCATCCTCACTCAGTTTTTGGCATAGGACCCTGAATCCTAAACCTCAGGCTCGGATTCGCAGGAACGCAGAGCACCCTTTGCATGAAGGCCAAAACCCGAGGTCTCGACCCGAGAGCTCTGCACCCAGAAGTTGAAACCTGAACCCTTAGTGCCTTTTACGCTCTGGTTGATCACCGCGGTGACCCCTAGAAGGTGTACCCCTAAACCCCAAACCCTCAACCCAGCAGGGCATAAAGTAATCCAGGACAGCTGGTCTTTACGGACGTGTGATGATTCACCCATGATGTGTCTACATCATCGGGAGACTGAGGGGACCAACGTGGTCGGTTATACATGGCGTATGATATCCTGTTGGTCGGCCTGCTCAACATGTATCTACAGGATCCTTGATTCTTGAAGGAGTGACCTGCGACTCGGCTTGCAGCTGCCGGGGGTCCGTCCAAGACAAGTTACAATGTTGTTTTGTTTTGCTTTCGGTTTGGTCGAAGTAGAAAATTGAAAAATTGCGCATGAGCTGATGGGCTTCTCGAACAATCCTCTTTTCCAGTGGATCGCATACACATGATAGGGCGGTGCTTTCATGCTCAAAGATTTAGAATGGAAGTATAGCCTCACTTAAGCTACCTGTACTCGTACCCATAGCTACCAATAAGCCCTCCAAGCATCTTGAACCCTGAACCCTGGCGACTAAGCCCAAAATTTAAAAGCTCACCTTAGGGTTTAGGGTTTAGGGCTTTGGGTTTAGGGTTTAGGGTGTAAGGTCATACTCTACAAATCTCCACACCCTCCTTCCCTGCAAGTAGCTGCCAGAAAGACCCTGCTGCCAGCCTCTCTGGCAGTCGCAAAAGGATGCCTCGGCAGACGAAAAAGGAAATATTATATATATATATATATATACATATGTTTTTGTATGTTTACATATATATATATATAGATAGGTAGATAGTCAGGCTAGGGTTTGGGGTTTAGGGGTTTAGGGATTTTAAAGCGCAGGGTTTTACAGGCGCGGGGGTTTACGGCCCAAGGGGTGGTTCTAAGGGCTTCGACTTTATGGTGGTAGGCTTGGAGTTTCAGGGTTAGGGTTTGGGCTCAAGGCCCCGCGAGAATCCACAAAACACAAGTTCAAAGGCAACCAAACAAACGCTGTATGTTTCCAAGCACCAAAAACCCAAAGAATCCAAGTGAAGGCGGGAGGTAGCACATCATATGAGGTTCTAACTTTGCGTGTGAAAGTTTCAGCTCAATTTTGGCTTGACTTCCCTATAGAGCCGCGGACTGCCGCAGATGATACATTCATGGGTGTTGGAAGAGTCAGGGAACCA